CACACACACACACACACACACACACACACACGAAGCCCGGGCTCCCCAAGGGGGTCATTCCTGTTACCTCCCTCTGAGAGTCCCCAGTTGCTCTGCCTTCCAGCGATCATTCGGGCCAGCTCGGTCCCGGGGGAGCTGGGAGATTTCCGAGAACCCAGCCACCTCTGACCTCAGAAGGTCTCAGCCTGCCTTTCCAGCACATTCTTAATTGCAGCTGCCTTCCCTCCTCTATTGTCAAGACTTTGCTCTTCTTCCTCAGACATGTTTTTTGGAAAAAAGAAAACCCCAGGATTTGTTCCAACATGTACAATTATCAAGGTTCTTATTAATTGCAGGACAATAAGTGATATCATTAATATTTTTAATATGTATTATTTCTCCTAATTAAAAGTAATATGTGGTCATTGTGGAACAATTGGAAAATATACCCAAAAAGAAGATGAAGAAATAAGGTTAAATGTCACCTCGTTTGCATGGGCCACCGGTTCTGGCGGGCCGCTTCCACCCAGGGTTGGTTTCCAGGCAACAAGGGCAGATCAGAGGAGCTTGTGGGCGGCTGGGTTTGCTTTGCTGCTTCTGTCCCCGCGCTGCCTCTGCTCCCACCCTCTGGCGCTCTGGCCCCCCGCCTCAGGCTCCCTAAGGGAAGGCTCTGGGTGGTCAGGGTCAAGGTCAGGTCAGGTTCTGAGTGGCTTTGGCTGCAAGGAGAGCAGCATCTGTGTCTCACAACGGTTCTTCCTTCTCAGCGCTCCGGAGACGCAGCCTGTTTGGAGATGCTTGGAAAGTTACCCTTTTTATACGTGAGACTTGCTTTCCCCAGAACTTCTCTCACTGGGAAATATCTCAGAAGTATTTATAGCCTAGAGAAAGTTAAAGAGGATTTTCAGTCAGTAGCTACCACCTCCCTTGGGGAAAGAATCAGCAAGTTTCTTTTTCTCGTCCCTTTGCTTTTCCTCCCAGTGACCCTCACGGCACACAGGCTCCATGGCAGCAGCGTCTCTTTCACAGCCCAGCTGGGTCCCTTCAGATGATCCCGTCTGCCGCCTTTCTTTTCTGCTTCCCTCCTCCCTTCTTTCCTCTCTTTCCCCCCCTTTTTTCCTCCCTCTCTTTTCATTCCTTTCTCCTCTCTTTCCCCCTCCTCCCTCTCCTCCTCTCCCTCCTCCTGCCCCTCCCCAGTGCCCGTGTGGGGCAGTGTGCAGCTCAGTGGGTTTTCAGGAGGTGAGTGTGCCCGCACCGCCAGTGTCAGGGTTAGAGACACAGGACTGTCAGCACCCAGACCCTGCTCATCAAGGAGGACATGATCCAGTCGGTTTTATTCAAGAAGATAATTGAAGACATACCTATGGCGAAGGCTTTGTTGGCTGTTTTTCATTTTCCTCTAAGTTATTCGTTTGTTGAACCCTGCGGTTCAGCTGCGTGGTAACTGGGGAAAGGAGGGCAGCGATAAGCCCTTGGGGTGTTTGTGTTCTCCTTCCTTTGTCCTGGGTCGGAGGCTGCATCTGGAACCACTGAGGACTGTTGCCCACAAGCTCAGCAAGGCTCACAGTCCCCTCTCCACCTGTGCATCCCTTCCTGCCTGGTGTCCTTTCCGCCCGGCGGCTGTGGTGGGACTGGATCTAGGCACCTCTGGGCCCCACCCCGCCTGGCCGGGTTTCCATGCCGGGAAGCGTCACCCAGAGCTGGTGGACAGCCCGCACTGCCACCACGTCCCTCAGCTGTCCGCATGACCCGTCCACGCTGCCCTTCTCCCTGCTCGGTGAGGCATCACTGCGTCAGCTCCCGCTGCGTCCCCTCACGTGTGCTGAGGAGTCCAGAATCCCACTCAGGTCATGGCAAGACGGGTCCACAGTGACGAGTGATTCAGATGATGGGGCTTTCCCACAATGCGGTGAGAGAAAGATCTGGTGAAGCATGAATCATCTCCTCTCTCTGAGCTTTACAGAATGCGCTGCTGCGCCAGCTCGCTGCTCATTCACCAAAGCGAGCCCTGGCGTTGCCACGTGTGCCCTCGGTAAGCAGCACAGCATGTCCCCCCAGCGCCAGCCACGAGCGCCTGGAGGGCGCGGTGCCCTGCAGGCTCCCCACCGGGCGCCGTGCCCTGCGGGCCGCCAGTGTTTGAGGCGCTGCAGACTCACACATTGGCATTGTCAGCCAGCCGTGTTGACTTGGGAATCGTTAAACTCTAGTGCTCAGCTAGAATTAGAGATTTTCACGTCTCTCTACGAAAGAAAATTCGAATTGGGGTGTGCACTCAGAGTGAGAGGGGGAGCGAGGTTGGTTGGTTTGCTTGCTTGTTTAATTGTTGGTAGTGATGCAGGTTTCTCCCGCTGCCCCAGGGGTGGGAGGGGAGAGTTTCCTCTTGATGGCATGATGTTCCTGGGGTGAATGTAGCATCAGTCATGGCTGCCCTCCCTCTGCCAGCGTCAGAGCAGTTCGCAGGCCTCACGTGGCGAGTGTAGGGGGCCTCCCCCGGCCCGGGGCTGGCTCATGGCTGAGTGGCTCTCCGTGTCCCTTTCTTCGAGGGACAGCCAGTCTCCCTGTGGACGGCCCTGCGGCCTTGCTGCGGGGCGCGGGGCGGGGGCGCGGGGCGGGGGCGCGGGGCAGGGGGCGCGGGGCCGGGGCAGGAGCTGGCTGTGGGCTCCTGAGGCTGGACATCATTTTGGTTGATTTTCAACCCTGGCTTTCATCTCACCCAGTTTTATAGTCTAGCGAATAATTTCAAACTATTACACTTACATGTCAAAACTGTATTCTAATGGCAGTTAACTAAAGTACTAGGTACTCCTCGGGGTCCATTTGGCCTCTCAGAATGCTCCTGAAAGGTGTGCAGATAAAGGAAAATGAGGGGTAGGCATCTGAATAATGTCAACAATAAAACTAAAGGAGAGAGATGTTTTGTGGCGTGCATGGTACCAGAGGTGTGTGTCTAAAGTGTTTCCATGTTTATCGAGCGTTAGAGGCTTTTGGTGTAAATTGTAAAGGAGTGTGGATGAAGCGGGAGGAAGAGAAAGAAAAAATGAAGGACATGTGCTTTGCAGTTTGACAGGACTGGGTTCCATCCTGACTCCATCCACCAAAGACTTCAGCTTCCTCCTCTGCAGCAGGCAGGGCCCTCCGTGAGCGGGTCCTGAGGTCGGAGGTTGGAGGTCAGAGGAGAGGTGGGGACAGACATGTCACAGACACTCAGCCATGTCTCTGCTTTCCACCAGCACCGCCTAAGGGACTTCTGTTTAAAATGGGGCCTTTCCACCCGGCCGGCATGGCCCAGGGGCTGAGTGTCGGCCTATGAACCAGGAGGTCATGGTTTGCTTCCCAGTCAGGACACATCCCGGGCTGTGGACTTGATGCCAGTATGGAGTGTGCAGGAGGCAGCCAATCACTGATTCTCTCTCATCATTGATGCTTCTATCTCTCCCTCTCCCTTCCTCTGAAATCAATAGCAATGTACATTTTAAAGTGAATAAGTAAGTGAGCGGCCTCTGTGTTGGAAACACCGCGCCCGCCCTCCTCAGGAGGTGATGCAGGTACCTCGGCCTCCGCCACGAGCAGAAGCCACAAGCAAGTGCCGCCAGGAATACGGCCGGGCTGTCCCCCACGGCCACAGCGCCGCAGTTGGACGAGTGTGGGGATGGTCTCCGCACCACTGTGGCGGGGAGGAAGGAAGGGTGCGGCCTGGAGAGCTGTGCCACCCACTTCCTGCAGCCCAGGTCCTGTCCTTGGCGCCCTCGGGCCTGAGCCCACACCCGGCTTCCGGGCTGAGGCCGAGGGGAGGGGCAGGTTGTAGCCCCACCCGTTCCTCTGCTTTGTGTAACAGAAACTCTGAAAATTGTAAAATCTCAAAGTGTATTTTAAAGAGAGGAAGGAAGGGAGAGGGGGAGAGAGAGAAGCATCGATGATGAAAGAGAACCATTGAGCGGCTCCTCCTGCACGCCCCACACTGGGGATTGAGCCCACAGCCCAACATGTGCCCAGACTGGGAATGAACCGTGACCTCCTGGTTCGTGGGCCAGCACTCAGCCTCGGAGCCACTGGCCCACAATTCCGTCCTCACGCTGAGCATTCCCGGTTGCCGTCCAGGGCGGTGGGGACTCGGGACGGCAAGTTTGCGCTGGGCTCGAGCTGAGGGGAGAGGTAGCCAGGGCCACTCCGAAAAGTGCTGTCACCGCTCTCCTCGCTGTGGCTGCGTGGCTGCCTGCCTCCTGCAGTTCTGAGGAGGAGCCTGCTGCCCCCCCAGGAGCGGGCAGGAAGGAGCCCCATGAGATCGGAGCGGAAGTGCTCAGCGCAGGACGACGCCCCTGCCTGGCGCAGGCTGCCTCCGTGCGTTTGTGCAGCCAGACCCTCGGCCTGCAGGGGGAGAGGCGTGGGCTTTGGAACCTGATGTTCGGTTGGGACAAGCTTTGGAGGCAGGGGAGAAATCCTGTTAGGATCAGCAGGTCGGGCAGCAGGAAGCAGTGGGGGCAGGTGTGAGGGTTTAGAGGTGGAGTCCCCCGGCTCCCAGGGGACTGTCAGAACCGGTCCCCCTGAGGACTGCCATGTGGAGCTGGCCTCGGGTTTCTCCTGTCCCGCAGGGAGCCCCTTGCCCATGAGCCCCAGGATCGTGCTGGGTGTGCCAGCGGGGAGGCTGAGGCTGGCGTGTGCCCTGTGGAAGCCGCTGGCTGCAGGAGAGGGTGTGGCGGGGGAGGGCCGAGCCGGCCCTGAGGGGCTTGTCCTGGTCCAGCCATGGTTAACGGGGTTGCCATCCCAGCAACATCCCTGGCAACACTGGACGTGCAGAGCTAGCCAGGTGGCCGGCCTCCCATCCGCCAGACAGACAGAAATCGAGTGTGGGAGCTCGCAGCCTCTTCCCCGGCTGTTCTGGGAGCAGGTTTGGGCAGAAGCTTGCTGTTCCTGGCACCACAGCCGACGCACTCCCTCCAGCAGATGCGCCCTTTCTTGTCTTGCCCACAGCAAGCCCGGCGGTTCCGGTTCTGTGACACGGTTTGACGGTCCCTCTTTCCCCACAGAACATCGACATCACCAACTTCAGCAGCAGCTGGAGTGATGGCCTGGCCTTCTGCGCGCTCCTGCACACCTACCTGCCGGCCCACATCCCGTACCAGGAGCTGAGCAGCCAGGAGAAGGTGAGGCCGCCGCCCGTGCTTCTCGGGCACACGCGGGCGGAGGGGAAACAGCAAGCTGCTGAGTGTGGGCCGCGGGACCCCCCATGCGGCCTCCGAGACGCGCTTCCGGGAAACGCGGTGAAGGCCATTCCCTTGCTGCTGACAGTTCCCGTCACCCCCTTGCCTAACGACTCTCACCTTTGCAGGGGCGGGGGGCAGAGTGAGGTGTGTGTGTCTTTTCCAAAGAACCAACAAACAGCACCAAGAGGAGTTTCTCACTCAAACAAGCGTGGGAAACGGTCCATTGTATCACACTTCAGGTTCTCACAGAGCTCCTTAGGCAGCCCAGCCTCCGTCCTCCTTCGTTAAAGAGCCCGCCGCCTCCGTCAGCCAGCGCCAGGGAGGCCGCCGAGCCTGTCCTGTCCCTGTAACAAGAGTTGGCAAACTTTGCCTGTTCAGGGCCAGATGGTGGACGTTGTGGGCTGAGGGTCTCTGTCACAGCTAAACTCTACCACTGGAGGGACATGGGCCATGTGGGCATGCTGTTACAATAAAACTTTATTTACAAAAAAGACAGCAGACCAGATGCAGCCCGCAGGCTCTAACTGCCGAACGCTGACCAAACCTCCCACAGGGGCACGTCCCACGGGCGGCCCGGCCGAAGAGGCTGTGCGTCCACACGTGCCCGTTCAGCACGCGGTTCTTGCCGGGCATCAAGCACAATAACCAAGACCACAGGGAGAGCACGCGTGTGCTGGGCCCCCTGAGACTCAGCAAGTGAGGAAGCCGAGAGTAACATAACAAGCAGGAAACTGAGCTTGGAGGGTGATGGAGAAGCAGGCGGTGTGGACTGTGGGAACACTGGACAAGGAGGCTCAGGTCTGTCTGAGGAGGTGCTAGGCTGAGGACGGAACCTGAAGGAGCCAGCCATGCAGAGATCCCAAGGCAGGGGGTGCAGAGCAAAAAAAGCCTGGGGCACTCTGGGCAGCAGGGGGGGCGGCTGGAGTGCAGTGAGGAGGGGCCTGGCTATGAAGGTGTCCACAGCTGGAGTGCAGTGAGGAGGGGCCTGGCGGTGAGGGTGCCCCCAGCTGGAGTGCAGTGAGGAGGGGCCTGGCTATGAAGGTGTCCGCAGCTGGAGTGCAGTGAGGAGGGGCCTGACTGTAAGGGTGTCCGCAGCTGGAGTGCAGTGAGGAGGGGCCTGGCGGTGAGGGTGCCCCCAGCTGGAGTGCAGTGAGGAGGGGCCTGGCTATGAAGGTGTCCGCAGCTGGAGTGCAGTGAGGAGGGGCCTGGCTATGAGGGTGCCCCCAGCTGGAGTGCAGTGAGGAGGGGCCTGGCGGTGAGGGTGCCCGCAGCTGGAGTGCAGTGAGGAGGGGCCTGGCTGTGAGGGTGCCCACAGCTGGAGTGCAGTGGGGAGGGGCCTGGCGGTGAGGGTGCCCCCAGCTGGAGTGCAGTGAGGAGGGGCCTGGCAGTGAGGGTGCCCCCAGCTGGAGTGCAGTGAGGAGGGGCCTGGCTGTGAATGTGCCCGCAGACTGGCTGAGCCCAGGGTGTCCAGGGATGCTGAGTAGAAGTTTGTGAGCTGCTCCAAACACCATGGGAAGTCGGAAGGAGCCTGAACAATGGAGACTCACTCTTCATGTTTCCAGGAGCTTGCCGACAGGAAATGAGGATGAGCAGGGGGCCAGGTGGAGGCTGCTGCAGTCCCGGTCTCACCCGTGTCTGGCTTCCTCCTGAGCTGGGTGCAGCAATGTAGACAGGAGGTGGGAAGATACCCTAAATGTATCTTAGATGTCGTAGTGACTGGACCTAGGACCGTGGTTGAGGGAGGGTGAGAGGAGAGTCAGCGATGACCCCAGGTGTCCTCCTGGCAGGGCTGTCTGCTGAGAGAGCTTTAGAAGTTCGATTTTGATTAGGGGCCTCGGGACATTACAAAGTCTAAATGGGTAAAATTTCAAATTCTACTGGAACTTAAACATGAATATGGACAGAAACACATGTCTCCCAATTACACTTAATTTACTAACTTCATTAAATTTTAATGTAATCCCAATGACTTTCAAATAAATTATGGAAGGGAGGACGCATGACCCAGTGATTCTTAAATGTATCCATATGAAGAAACATCAAGAACAACCAGAAAGGATCTCACAAAGAAGCAACAAATTAGGGGGAAATTACTGTGGAGCAGTAACTTTAAAATTCCAGCAAGATCATTTTCACCTAGTTCCTGGCCCGGGTGACGGTACAGAAACGTTCCCACATGAATGCTTCCGGAAAAGGTGCTGTCCCACACCCTGCAAGGACACCCGAGTGTACCCCACCGGCTCTGTGCGAAACGGGCATGAGGCTCTGCAGGAGTCCAGACCGAAGACCTGCCTGGGATGGTGACATGGCCGAAAGAGGAGGATCTCAGTGAGAAAGGTCTCGGTGACAGCGTCGTGACGAACTGGAGAGGAGTCAGTGCAGTCGGGGTGCACTGCTTTGTCAGTGCTGGTTATTGTTTTTGGTTTTCAGAATCATCCTATTAAGAGAGGAGATAAAACTTAAATGTGGTTATGAAAAAGGAACTGAGTGTTTTCGGTTTTAATAATTTAAAAAGTAAAACCGGATAAGATGAAGGAACATCCTCATTGTGTAAAGTGGAGGAAGTGCTGTCCATAATTGATGGAATAAGAAATGGAGATATAAGGGTATTATTTAAAGTCACGAACATCATTCATAATAGAAGAACGAAAAGTAGCCAAAAGGCTATAAGGAAGAAAAGAGAGAGGTGCGTGATACCGAGTCCTCATTTATTCCGGGAGGAAATGGGTAGGTAGCGTGAGAAGGTATTATTTTAGAAGTCAAGAAACTGTGTGGGAGGATGCTAAGGCGGTATCACCAAAGGACCAGAGACAGACATTCGAGATGGCTCCCAAGCTCTAGGACTGGGGAAAGAACAGTGTTCTCACTTGATTATATTTAACTGTGTGTACACATTGCTTCAATAATTTCTATATAGCACCACAATTCAACAAACAACTGCTGTCATACAGCAGAAATATATGCTATATATCTAGACAAAATAAAGAATAACAGAATTAATAAAAATGTATCTGATAGTCAGGAGTCAGTAAAGTCATTTTTTGTGGCATTTGTAATCAATCAGTTTTATTTTTTTTCTTATACTGAGACCATTGTTTCTATATTTGGCTTAAATTTTTAAGTCACATTTAGGTTTTCTATCTGGGAGTGTCAGTGGTGGTCTTAGCCAAAGCTGTATGTTTTTAGTAGGTAATTCCAGTCTCTCTGTCTTTTCACCTTAGAAAAGGAATCTCTTGTTGGCATTTGAAGCAGCCGAAAGTGTAGGCATTAAGCCCAGCCTGGTAAGTATCCTATTTTGTATTCTTGTTATATTTTAGTCTAATTATGAGATAAAGAACTTTTTGTCGTCTACTAACAGTTTCTGACAGAACATAGAAATACATTCGTTGAAGATGTATTACTCATGATCTCTAATATAAAGCTATCCAGTTGGTTAGACCACATATGATTTAGGTTTTTGTAGTAAGTCCTTTTGTAAATATGTTTGCATTGGCTTTCTAGAGAAAGAGGAAGGGAGCGAGAAAGGGAAACATCAATTGGTTGCCTCCCATACGTGTGTGCCTGACTGGGGACTGAGCCTGCAACCTGGGCCTGTGCCCTGACTTGGAATTGAACCCGCGACCTCTCAGGGCGTGAGATGAAGTAAATCAAAGGCATGAGCACAGCTGACACTGACAGCCGGGGCCGGGGCCGGGGCTGGGGCTGGGCGGTGGAAGCGGGCCTGGAACGGTGAGTACCTGTGGGTGTTATTTCACACCCACACAGGGTGGGGAGGGCTGCGCTCCCATGAGCAGAGCTTGAGCACCGAGCCCTGCACAGAACCGAGGCCCCGAGTGCCGCTCTTAGTGACAGCGGGTGTGAAACTCCACCTGCCCCCAGGGAGGTGCGATAGGAAGTGCGATCTTCCCATCAGATTTTTGTGGCCAAAAATGGGGGGGGAGGGTGCTTCCTGAGAGAAAAGGAACCAGCGGATGAGGTTAGAACACAAATCGTAGCACCTGTGCTGCAAGAAGCCCTCGTCCGGGCTCCCTCTGCTTCGGGAAGCTCCTTGGCTGGTAGCACTGTGGCTGCTGGAAATCTGCTAACAAGACAAACTTTAAAAACACTCAAGAGATTGACCTATTTGAGCTTGCCAGCAGATACAACAAACAAGAGGTTCATCTACTAGAACCTTAGGTAATAAGACAGAAAGAGGCTACAATAGACTATGTTTAAACATGTTAAAGAGATCAAAGGAATACAGTCATAAGGAAGGAGCATGTTATAAAAAAAAAGATTTGGGGAAATAATCAAAACTTCTAGAAATGAAAATTTGGAATTAGCAATACCAGTTGGCTTGAAAAACTGATTAGATATGGAAGAAGAGAGAACTACAGAACTGGAAAATAGATGTAAATTACCCAGGACATAAAACAGAAACTTTTTTAAAAAATGGAAAGTAGTCTGGCCAGTTTGGCTCAGTGGTTGGAGCATTGGCCTGCTCACTGAAGGGTCACAGTTGGATTCCGGTCAGGGCATGTACCTTGGTTGTGGGCACATCCCCAGTGGGGGGTGTGCAGGAGGCAGCTGGCACTCTATCCACTGAGCCAAACCAGTTTTGGCAGTAACTTTTTTTACTTTTTTCTTCTTCCTCTTCTTAAAGAATACCTTTCAGCATTTCATAGAATACTGGTTTGGTGGTGATGAATTCCTTTAGCTTCTTATCTATGAAGCTCTTTATCTGACTTTCAATTCTAAATGATAACTTTGCTGGGTAGAGTAATCTTGGTTGTAGGTTCTTACTATAAATCACTTTGAATATTTCTTGCCACTCCCATCTGGCCGGGTCCTGGGAGGTGGCTGGGGGCTGGGAGGTGGCCGGGCTGGGAGGTGGCCGGGGGCTGGGAGGGGGGGGGGGGGCTGGGAGGTGGCCGGGCTGGGAGGTGGCCGGGGGCTGGGAGGTGGCGGGGGGGGGGGGGGGGGGGGGGGGGGGGGGGGGGGGGGGGGGGGGGGGGGGGGGGGGGGGGGGGGGGGGGGGGGGGGGGGGGGGCTGGGAGGTGGCCGGGCTGGGAGGTGGCCGGGGGGGGGGGTGGCGGGGGGGGGGGGGGGGGGGGGGGGGGGGGGGGGGGGGGGGGGGGGGGGGGCTGGGAGGTGGCCGGGCTGGGAGGTGGCCTTGGGCTGGGAGGTGGCCGGGGGCTGGGAGGTGGCCGGGTCCCGGGAGGTGGTCAGCAGTTCCCTCGGCAGCAGGGAGTCAGTGGGAAGCAGGTGTGGCAGTCACAGGGAACCCAGAGAAGGAGGCCCTCAGGATCACGGAATGAGGTCACTTCCTCTTTTCACACTTTTTAACACTGCCAGGCTGTTAGCCGGGGCGCAGGTGGAGGGCACGCCCATGTTTTTAGAAGGGAAGGTGTCTTCTGAATTTTATTTCCCCTGACCACACTTCCCACGGCCTGGGTGCTGCCTGCACCTGCGTCTCCCAGGGTGGGGGTTCTGACAGCGGGGCCCTGGCCTGGGTCCGAGCCGCCTTGTGGGGAGAGTGTGTGGCGCCCATGACCTCTTCCTTCCTCCCTAGGAGCTCAGCGAGATGCTGCACACGGACCGGCCGGACTGGCAGAGCGTCATGCAGTACGTCGCCCAGATCTACAAGTACTTCGAGACCTAAGCCCGCAGGCCGCCACCGCGGCCCCGGAAGCCCGGTCCCTCCGCAGGCCTGCTCTCACGTCCACGGCCCGGCCGCTGGGTGTCAGAGGAAGGTTCTGCCCGGGGTCCAGCTGACAAATGAGATAGAGCTGGCTCCACCGTGCACCCACCTTGAATCAAGATGCGTTTGGGGTGTGAGTCGGGGAAGTTTGCTCTCCAGGGCCCCCTCCTTCCAGACCCAGGAGACCCCCGGGGGCATGCCCAGCCGTGTGGCCTCTGCTGGAGCCGCCCTGGCAGCCACAGGGACAGCAGCCCTTCCTGCCAGCGTCCCGGCTTTGGCCTCTATAAAAGCCTTGCCCTTCCTACCACCCACCCCCTCCAAAACACCCACCAAAACACAAGCAGCGGTTCGCTGTGGTCTCGGTAGCTGCTGCTCCCCGAGAGCTCGGTCGCCGTCTGAGAGCGCTGCCCTGTGCGTGCTGGGAGGGTGGAACAGGACGTGGGAGGAGGGGAAGGAGCCCCAGGTCATGTCTTCACTGCCCCTGCGGGCCTCCATGTGGGCCTGGCTCTCCCAGCGGGCGGCGGGGCAGGTGGGAGCCTGGCTCTCCGGGCAGCCGCTCACTCACAGCTGCCTGTGCTCTTGCCGAAGGGAAACTGCAGTGACTTCATCTCATCCATCTGTCCTGCCATTTGCTCCGCTCCCATTCTCAGCCTCACACACTCGTCCCACGTGCAGAGTCGAAAGACAGAGGACACTCGTGTGAAACCCCTAAGTCTGCGGGGGGTTGGGGTAATTGTGCCGTGAAACCGCCTGCAGGTGTGTTTCTTGGGATACTGGGCAGACAGCAAATGTAAACGTGTCAACGTTAGACTTGTTCAGCGTGTAATACATCAGCTGGCCTTCATGTTTGCGTGGCAGCAGGGTGGTCAGCGGCGGGAGGCAGCTCCTCTGTGTCCAGTCACTGAGCGCAGCAGAGCCCCTTGGCAGCCCATTCGCCTGGGAGGACTCTGAGCCCCGGCGGTTCTCTGGTGCTCTCGGGGGCACATGCATGGCACACGGGGTAAATGGGGGGAGCTCATCAGGCCCTTCACTTGCTAACGAAGATGCCCATCGCTGTGTTGGTGCCCTAGACGGGGGTCATTGTCAGCCACTGAGTTACAACAGCGCCGTCCCTGCCTAAGTCAGTCCTCATGGGGGCCTGTCCCAGCCGGGCCGGAGGCTCAGGCCCAGCCCGTCCTGGGAGAGGCCAGTCCGGCCCTCCCTCCAGGCCACCGGCGGCCACCGCCCTCCGCACTGTGCAGGTTCCTCTTTGGAGGCTCCTGGGCGCGGGGAGCGCCGGGCCGGCCCATCAGGGGTGGTCCTGCGTGTTGTCCGAGGCCCCGAGCCGGAGGAGAGGGCTCCGGCTGGTGCTGCTCTGCCTGCTCACCTGGCCCTCGCTTTCTGGGGGAAGCAGAGGTGCCGTCTGAATGAGGCCCCTCCTGGAATGAGCAAGTGAAAGCCTTGCTGGGCGCTTCCTGCCGGACATTTGTCTCGCACGGCTCTGCCTGTCCCCACCGCTGTGGGCAGAGCGCCGGCGGGCGGAGGCTCTGTGCAGGAGAGCCTGAGGCCGGGGAGGGCGGCGTCAGCACCCTCAGGCCTGGGGTGGTGACTCCCACGGGATTCAGCACAGGCTCAGGCACTGGCCTTTCCCCCCTCCAGGCGGGGCCCTCACCTTCAGGTTAAGAAGAGGGGAAATGTCACACAAGAGGAAGACCATGTGCCAACTTATTTTTATAGTAAAACAAAGCTCCTGTACTACCACTTTGTTGCTGGTGGGCACATGTGGAGCGGAGCTTGTGCCCTGTCGGACAGCACAGTGGTTAGAGCAGGTCTGGCCCTGCAGGGTGGGAGGGGCCCGCAGGCAGCTGGGAGCCAGGCCGCCACACTGCAGGGTCTGGGGAGAAGCTGTCCCAGCCTGGGGGGGGGGGGGGGGGGGGCCACAGAACAGGGTTTTTTATCTGTTTTTACTTGGAGAGCTCAGAGCACCAGGGGAATGTGGGAAATCGATAAATAGAAACCAAGGCGGCGGCAGCAAGCTGTGTCATTTTGTTTCCAACAGCCACGTTTCTCCCACCTTCCTCCAGCCACTGCTCAGTGGTTAGAAGTGCTTGGTGATTCTGCAGACCCTCTTTCCAATGCACTATTTTTATGTAAAAGGACGTGCAATATGAAGACCATAGGAGCAGGCGGGGCTTTTAACAGACAGAAGCGCATGGTTTCTGCACCGGGTGGTGTCGTGGCCTTGACCTGTGGTTGCTCTCGGCACTGGCCAGCCTCGCCGCGGGACAGCGTCCTGGGGAACCGCACACGCACGCTTCCCGCCCTGGAACCCTTGCTGTGGAGAGGGTGGCAGCGAGGGGATTCCTTCTCCATGTGGTGTGGTCACAGCTTTTGTTGGCGGCGGGTGTTCCACCGAGTGCACTTCCCCGTGCTCGGCCGCCTGGCACTGAGCTGACGGCGGGCATTCCCAGGTGCGGGTGCGGAGGTGGAGGGCGGGTCTATGAGCCAAACCCAGCCCCGTCCTTCCCATCCCGGAGCTCAGCCATTGAGGCGGCCGTGAGGGCATGCGTGTTCAGCGTGTTTCCACTCGGAGCCCGGGTTCTCTGCGTGTCACCGCTGACTAAGCAGGGGCGGCGCTGCTGTAAGCCCGCTTCTCTGGCCGGTCCGCGTTGCTGGGGGCCGACGCTCGCTGTTAGCGGCTGACACGCCTGTCCCTGGCTGCTGCACAAGCCGCAGGGGGCCCAGGTCCTCAGGGCGGCCGAGCCAGCGGAGCTGGTTCACCATCAGCTGAGAGCGTATGATGAACGGCTGTGATATTTCTAATAAAGATATTTTGTTTCTGTTTGACTGAATTCTTCTCAGTGACATTTGTTAGTATTTCTCCAGCTCCCAGGTGCACGTGAGACTGTTTCCCAACGAGTGTCTCCATGTCCTCGTTCCTGTTGGGCGGTGATGCCACCAGGAGCAGCAGAGAGGATGGCGGTCCCCGCGGCCCTCCGCCTCCGCCCTCCAGCCTCTCCCTGGGAAGGGCACCGGGCCGGAGTGTGCGGGGGTGGGCGGCCCCGGGCGGAGCGCTGGTCCTGGAGCACAGGAGCGGTCCGAGAGGCAGTGCCCAGAGGAAGGTCCGCGACGGGTGTCTGCACCGGCCAGGGTGCCTGCCGACTGCTCAGGTGATGTGTGCTGTTCAGGTGTCACTCGGGGCCGTGCCCACACAAGAGGAGACAGGAAGCTGCCCCTTCTAGAATCTTCACTCCCCTGCTTCCCACCGCCCACTGTTTGGGGCCCATCGGGGCGGCCCTGACCCCGGACCCAGCAGGTCCCGGACACGGGTCCGACGCGCTGTCTGGCTGGTGCTGAGTTGGGCATCGGGCAGGAAACCCCGTGCTGCCGGGGCAGGGCGCGGGGCCACGGTCCGTGCGGAGCGCTCTGCGCCCGGAGGCCCAGCAGCCCAGGCCCTGGCCCCACGCCGGCTCGGTGAGGTTGCCTCTGCAGCTCTGGGCGCACTGCCGTCCCTCAGCCTTCTAACCACTGTGGGCACACCAGCTTGCTTAATGGCTGGGAACACCCAGCGACCGTGAACTCTCATCCCGGCTTGGAGTTCCCACGGAGCTCTGGGGAGCAGCCGGCTCAGCGTCAGCCGGCCCAGAGCAGCCTTCCCGGCACGGCCCAGTGCGAGAGGAGCATCCTGGAAGGGCGGATGTGGAAGGCCCACGGGGAGAGACTTGAAATAACTGCCTGAAGATCCTCCTCGTTTGTCCTCTGCTTTAAGAATGTTTATTGAGCCGGGACCGGTTTGGCTCAATGGATAGAGCATCGGCTTGGGGACTGAAAGGTCCCAGGTTCAATTCCCATCAAGGGCATGTACCTTGGTTGCGGGCACATCCCCAGTAAGGGGTGTGCAGGAGGCAGCTGGTAGATGATTCTCTCTCATTGATGTTTCTAACTATCTCCCTTCTTCTCTGTACAAAATCAATAAAATATATTTAAAAAACAAAAAAAAGAATGTTTATTGAATTTATCGGAGTGACATCCTATCTAATAAAGAGGGAATGTGCTAAGTGGCCATCACTCTGTCACAAAGATGGCTGCACCCACAGCTGAGGCCAAGTTCCCATAGGAGCCTTAATGAGCAATCAGCAGGGACCCGAGGCTATGCCCTCCCCCGCCCCCTGTGGGCTTGACAGGGAACCTCAGGCCACGCTCCCCACACAGTGGGGCTGGATGGGGGACCTCAAGGCATGCCCCCTGCCCCAGTTTGGGCTGGGGGACCTCAGGCCACACTCCCCTACCCCCATTACCCCCCCACCCTTGTCCTGGCACTGGGCCAGGGGACCTGAGACTATGCCCCCTGCCCAACAGGGCTTGACAAGGGTGGGGCTGGCCGGGTCTGGATCTATTCCAATGGGGGCAGGGACTGGCTGGGTCTGGGTCTCACACGATATTGAGGCGCATGTGGGTGGGCGAGGACTTGACTCTGGATCCCGTAGTGCGCCCCAGACTGACAGGAGGAAGGTTTTCATATACATTTTACTAACTTTCTTTCATCTCTGACACTTATATTATAGATAAAGGGAAAATAGCAATATTATTTCCTCTAATTAATCCCCTTTTAATGTTCACGAACTTCATGCACCAGGCCACTAGTTGGTTGGTTAATAAAGTTATATAAGTTTCAAATGTGCAGGTCTATGATACATTCTCTGTATTTGTAATGTGTATCCACCCAAAGTCAAGTCTCCTGTCCCTGGTTTCACCCTTTACCCTCTTCTACCTCCCCTCCCCCTTTTCCTCTTGTAATCACTGCACTGTTGTCCGTATCTATGAGATGTTGGGGCTTTTTTTTTTAATCTCTACACTTTTTCACTCAGCCCCCAAACCCCTCTCCTCTGACAACTGTCAGTCTGATTCTGTTTTGTTTATTTTGTTCATTAGAGTCCACATATGAGTAAAATCACTCACAGTACTTATCTTTCTCTGACTGGCTATGTCATTTAGCATAATGCTCTCTAAGTCCATCCAAAAAGGTAAGATTTCCTTCTTTTTATGGCGAGTGGTATTCCTTTGTGTAAATGTGCCACAGCTTTTCCTGGCTGCCTCCAAACCTTATCTATTGTCAATAACACTGCTATGGACACACGGGTGCATATTTACTTTTAAATCCATGTTCCAGGGTTCTTAGCATAAATTCCCAGAAGTGGGTTTGCTGGGTCATAATACAGTTCCATTTTCAATTTTTTGAGAAAACTCCATGCTGCTTTCCACAGTGGCTGCACCAATGTGCATTCCCACCAGCAGTGCCTTTTATCCACAGCCTCTCCTGCACTTCTTTTTGTTTCACCAATGGCTTTTATTGGTGAAAGCCATTCTGACAAATGTGAGATACCGGATTGTGGCTTTGACTTATATCTCTCTGATGATTAGTGGTGACAAGCATCATTTCATACGTCTATTGACCATCTATATGTCCTCCTTGGAGAAGTGCCTATCCAGATCTTTTACCCATTTTTTAATTGGATTATTTGGTGTGTGTTTTCAGTTGGGCTATCTAAGTTCTTTATAAATTTTGGATATCAGTGCTGTATCAGATGTATCATTAACAAATATATTCTCCCATTCAGTAGGTTATCTTCTCATTTTGTTGATGGTTTCTTTTGCTATCCCAAAACTTTTTAATTTGATATAATCCCATTTGTTTATTTTCTCTTTTATTGCCCTTGCTTGAGGAGATATGTCAAATATATATATATATATTGTTTCAAGAATGTTCAAAAGAGATCCAAGATGGTGGCATAAGTAAACATCTAAACTGCTGCCGGGCACAACAATTTCAAAACTACAACTAAAATACAAAACATATATCACCCAGAACCACGGGAAAGCTGGCTGAGTGAAAGTTCTACAACTAGAAGGAAAAAGGAAAGAGCATTCAGGGCACAAGTGCTGAAAAACTGAGGTACAGGGGCACATGCAATACGGGCCGGTGGCGGATCCCGGCTGGTGGCGGGCGTTGCTTTCTTCAACCCAAAGAGAGACAAGCTCCTAATCTCTCTGAAATCCAATCTCTGGGGAGAAGCTGGCCTGTCTGCCAGCAGGTCGGAAAGTGAGGATGGCTTGCTTGCAGAGCTGCATGCAAGAATAATTGCTGTGCTGGGGCTCGAGACACGGGGACACAGTCAGAGAGGCAGAAATGGCTCTCTGCCAGCCATCACTATTTGCCATGCCCTAGCCTATTGACGCCCTGAGACCCACTCACCGCACAATCTACAAACACACCCAAGCTCCAAGCAGCGGCTTTTGCATATGAATGGCCTTCTCTATTGCAGTTTAACCTAGCAAACTTGCAACCCGGTGCAGGAAGATCCAAAGCCTCCAAGCTCCAAGCAGGGAGGAGAGGACTGTGGTTCTTGCTGTAGCTCCTGCAGGGTGGCCTCAGACAGTAACTAACTGCACCCCATTGGATATCCAGAAGCCAGAGTACATAGTGGTCAGTGTGAGACACCAGATTTCAACTCCTACATCCATAAGTGACACATTTGGGAGGCAGACTCAGCACCAAAGTCCCACTGAAACAAGGCCTGCATCATAAGAGTGTCTCCAGTGCAGCAGTTCTCCATGATAGACACAGCGGGTCCTCACAGCGGGTCCTCACAAGCCAATTGGCCTGGAGGTCAATTCCTCCCAGTGCACCAACAGCAATCAAGGCTTAACTACACCAAGACTTTGCACTCAGCCCACAAAGGGGTGTACCAAGGGCGACCACCTCAGGTGATTGGGGAAGCTGAGCTACTGGCCCCTATAGGTCACCTACCACACAAAGCCACTCCATCAACACAGGGAGGAAGCCAAAATGCGGAGACTCAGAAGCATGTCACAAATGGGAGAGATGGAGGAAAGTAAAACTACTGGTTGACACAGAGTTCAGAACCACATTTATAAGGTTACTCAAGAATCTTCTAAAAACCACTTCGGAAATAATTGATGAGACCTCCAAGGAGCTTAGTGAGACCTTCAAGGACCTTAATGAGAATGCCAAAAAAATGGAAAAGGACCAGTCAGAAATTAAGCATACACTGTCCGAAATAAAGAATATTCAGAAACTCAACTGTAGATAAACATATCCCAAGAGTCAAACCAAAGACCTTGAATATGAGGAAGCAAAAAACACCCAACCAGAGAGGCAGAAAGAAGAATCCAAAAGTGTGAGGAAGTGTAAGGAGCCTCTGGGACAGCTTTAAGCTTACCAACATCTGGATTTTTTGGATGTCAGAAGAAGAGAGAGAGCAGGATATTGAATGCCTATTGGAAGGAATAATGACAAAAGACTTTTCCTACCTGTGAAATAAATAGATTTACAAATTCAGGAAGCGCACAGAACTCCAAACAAGAGGAATCCAAAGTAGACCACACCACGACACATCATAATTGAAATGCCAAGGGCAAAAGACAAAGAATCTTGAAAGCAGCAAGAGGGAAACAGTTACCTACAAGAGAGTATTCATATAACTGTCAGCTGATTTCTCAACAGAAACTATGCAGGCCAGAAGGGAGTGGCAAGAAATATTCAAAGTGATGAACAGCAAGAATCTACAACCAAGATTACTCTACCCATCAAAGATATTCAGAATTGAAAGTCAGATAAAGAGCTTCACAGACAAGTAAAAGCTAAAGGAGTTCATCACCGCCAAACCAGGATTACATGAAATGCTGAAGGGTATTCTTTAAGAAGAGAAAGAAGAAAAAAAAAAAAGGTAAAGGTAAAAATTTTGAACAACAAAAAGACATTTAATACATACCTACCAACAAATGAATCTAAAAATCAAGAGAATAAAAAATCTGAAGAAC